TAATAGCGCTGACGAGTCTCGCCGGGACCGAGAGCCGTGCGAATGGTGCGAGCGATTGTTTACAAGTGTGGAGTACCGTGAAGAAGCTCCGGTTGGAAAGTTTTGTTTTGTGTTTACCTCATAGTTAAAGTTGTTGCACGTCCGCCGGTTCCTGCCTCAAAATGAGCGAGTTTGAGCCACTTGTACATACCGGAAGTGTTCAGGAAAAGCAATAAAGCAGTGAAGAAACTCGACACAGAGGAACATTTACACCTCACTGCCAACTAGTGTTTCGGAAGTGTTAATGCAGACCGACAGAGACAGCACGCAGAAGTATAAATGCACAGCCACGTGCGTTGCCTGCGCCGTGGGTTACGCCGGTCACTTGACGCAGAAGTATAAATCAGGCTTTAGTCGACTCTTTAATCCACCTGATAAATAAACTACTAGTCAGTCAACAATCTGAACTGTAAAAAAATTAAGTCCAGATGAATTAAGCAGCCTAATATGCTTTAACATTCCACCCTAAAAATATACATCATGCATTACTAAAAAGAGTTTATCATTCCCTTTCCTTCAGTCTAGTCCTTGCTTTTTCATTCATTTTCTTGTCAGCTTAGTCCCTTTATTAATTCGGGGTCCCCACAGCGGAATGAACTCCAACTTATCCAGCAAGTTTTTTACGCAGCGAATGCCCTTCCAGCTGCAACCCATCTCTGGGAAACATTCACACACACTCATTCACACTGATACACTCCGGACAATTTAGCCTACCAAATTCACCTGTACCACATGTATTTGCACTGTGGGGGAAACCGGAGCACCCGGAGGAAACCCACGCGAACGCAGGGAGAACATGCAAACTCCACACAGAAACGGCTACTTACCCAGCCGAGGTTCGAACTAGCGACCTTCTTGCTGTGAGGCTACAGCACTACCTACTGCGCCACTGCATCGTCGTCCTTGCTTTTTAATAGGTTTAATTAATTACAAAATATTAATTCATTCATTTATTTTCTTGTCGGCTTAGTTCCTTTATTATTAATCCGGGGTCGCCACAGCGGAATGAACCGCCAACTTATCCAGCAACCCATCTCTGGGAAACATCCACACACACATTCACACACACACATATATATATCAGAGGTCTTGTTAACCAAATATTTTCCGTCATTGATGGATTTTTTTCAGCAGTGACGGAAAAATCTGAAGGTGATCCGTCATTTTGACAGATTATGCTGAGGGTGATCTATTGTATTTTGTAGCTAACTGTAATTCCCACTCCTGTCCAGCTGATGGCGATTGCCCTTGTTTTGCCTCCTATTTGTCACCGCTGTGTACAGTTGTAAAGTCACAGCACCTGAGTGTGAGAAGTTTCTTTAAACGGCCAAATAGTTGTGATATTAATAATGAAGGTGAAAAAAAGAGGAAGTGATGCAGTGGACGATGAAGAACAAACAGACAAAAATACGATTCAACCAAGCAGCAGCTAGCAAGGTCAGGTTTATTGTTTTTATATTGATGCTCTTGTGCACTACAAAATAATTTATTCATTTTTAGTATTATTTGTTTCTTGCAATCAATATACGTTTATTATAACGTATTTTATCCTTTGATTGATTATTTTTGTTATGGGATATGCTGTTTGCATTTTATTCAAAGGTTAAACGCAGTGCCTGTGTTTGCTGTTACATAAATTAAAATGGTACTAATGTAATACCAAAAGGTTTTATATGAAGATATATGAAGACTAAGTCGCGCCAGCTCCGGGCCGCATCTGACCCGATTGACACAGGCCGGAACTGGGCAGTGAGTCCACAGGCATCCGGCTCGAGTACGGCAGCCGGAGTCCCCGGCAGGTGAGAATCTAGTTGGAACTGGCCAGAGTGTATTTTGCTATCTAGGGTGCTTGGAGTGCGTTGTGAGCACAACCGGACTCAGAGGGGTGCAGCCGTGCCCCTGGTGCAGAATGAGCGCGTGCTGTAGTATTTTTTCCCGGTGAAACGAGTGCTTGCAGGATCGGAAAATCCCACATTCAGAGAATCCGGCAAACTTTCTGATCACAGCCTTAGGAGAAATGTTTCATAATTTAAAAACGCTGGCTGAAGTGGCGCTAGTAAATTCGATCTTTGGTCACGAGAAGTCGACTTTCCGGGGCAAAGACAGTCTCCCTTAATGCGTTTGATTACGCACAGGCAAGCACCCAGTTCAGGTCGATGCAGGAGGAAGATATGAGTTAAGGGAAATAGGAGTTTTTGTTCATTTGTCAAACAAATAAATGAATAATTTAGCCTATATACTCGTCGTGCAACTTCTTAATGAAAATATAAATGAAAAAAGCGATTAGAAAATATGCAAATTAATTTACGGTCAATAATAGGTTATGACGGAATTTTTACAACCCTCTCCGTCAAAATGACGGACAATGAGAAAGTTTAAAGCGACCTCTGATATATACATATATATATTAGGGATGCTCAAAATAATCGATTAACTGTTAACCGAAAGGGTGCGTTTGTAACCGATTAATGCTATCAATTAAACGATTAAAAATATTATTTTATATATTTTTAGTTTGGCAGCATAATGGGCCGACTGAATGCGCCTTTGCATTAAGAGGGGCATCTTTTGCACGCGGCTCATCCCAGAGCAGCAGTTTGTGTTGTCAAGACAACTACAGAGAACTTTTAAAGAGCTTGGTTTCCGCTACATTCACCAAAATGCATCCATCCACGGCTACATTACCCTTTCAAAACATTCAGTTATTGTTGTTGTTTTTAATAGCGGATTATAATCGCACCGAAACGTATTAAAAGGTGAGTGAATTATAACAACGCAAACTTTTCTGTAACCATATATAGTGCTGTGCGCTATCTGTTTTAACCCTTTGGCATTACGTGCTGACTGACTGACTGACAGGTGCGCGATGCGTGAGGCCAGCAAACTCGACGAAGCTTTCAGTTAAGATGAACACAGTTTCTATAGTTATACTTTATTTATAGATTAAGGTATATAGCTCTGCATATAATCACTGTGTCTTGCTGGAGTTATTAGCCGTTTCGCTTTACTTCAGGACGCATTAATGTTGCTCTGAAGGTCTAATCGCTGTTTTAAGTTATCCAGAGCTGTATGAATGTACAAATCTTGAATATCACAATAGCATTAAATATTACAATTATTTTATTAAAATTTTTATTAAAAAGTTATTAAAAAGAATCAGTCAGTATTTTCGTTTTGTAATATAAATTAATTAAGTGAAAATAATTTAGGGCAGTCCTATTTATTTTATTCATTTTATTTAGATTATTCTGCTCTTCTGTGCTAAACACTGCAGGTGCGTGAAAATGCTCTGTTGTATTGTTCTATTATTAATATGCTAGCAAATAAAAATAAATCAGTATTTTAAAATGCAATATTTAATGTGTTGCACACAAAATAGACACGTCAATTTGTTTAATATAAAATTAATAGTAATCTGACCAGTTAACCGTTAATAACCGATTAATGAGCGGCGGTTGTTGGTTAGCAAAATTAACCGAAATGAGCATCCCTAATTATATATATATATATATATATATATATATATATATATATATATATATATATATATATATAGACCTCCTCTCCCTCAGTCATCTTTCAATCAAGCAAGTTTTTCGTGTCAGCGCAATGATTGGTTGTTGACGTCAACGACCAGACCAAGGGGTGGCAGTAACGGATCAAAAAGTTTGTTGTCGACCACCGAAAAACAGGAAGAAGAAATTGTCATTCCCACCATTCATATGGATTTACTTTTATCGGCTAGACACCGGCCTAACAGCTCCATGAATGTCGGTGCCATCACTTATTGATTCGTGATCGGTAAATGTAGCTTGTGTAGACGCTACAGCGCTACTTTACTAATAGAATAACTTTGCTACAGTAAAGCGTATCCATTAACTGATATCCAAAATGCGCATAAAAATATGTGAACAAAAATGTAGTTAATGTAGCATTAAAATAAATTTTCCAAATTAATGTTTTGAATTATATGCACTATTCTACACCAAACTCTTAAAAGAATAGGTGCACTTTAAATACCTGAATGATGCACTTATTCAACTATTAAAATAAATTGTGAAGTGTTGGACACTTCACACACTCAACAGCTGCTGGTTTGCTCATGTATAAGAAGGGGCGGAGCTTTCAGGCACTGACGTTGGATTACTTTAATGATTTTGGATTCTCCTACGAGAATGATTATAGCCCTTCTCGATGGTGAATGCAGTTATATTCAAGGCAGGAATTATTTAGTAGTTTGATCTTTTATTTCACTAATTTGGCAACCATGAAATGTCATCTGGGAAACGGTTTGAATTTTTCGCTTAGTAAAAAAATTTCTATTTGGGATGACACTACATACATACACTATACTGTTGGGTGTGCAAGTGCATAAGTACATAGAGCATAAGTGCAAAGTGTATAGTGTGCCATTTGGGATGCAGCCTGGGTTTCACTGATGGTTATCAGTTCATTATTGTTTTCATGTTCCTGTTTGAGTAACGTCCAGGTTTTCTCTTTATTCTAGAACATCGGATGACATGTTTATTTGCACCTGTGGAAGCTTCCTGTTTCTGGACATTGTTCTAAGTCTATCTATCCTTTCTGAGCACTTTAAGACTTACATTCACTGTTCTACTTCATTATATTGTCTTTCACTCGTAGTAGGACTTTTCCTGTTTCTTTCCTGACAAGAAAAGCCGCTGATATTTAAATAAGAATCAATTATGCCTAAATTTTATTTCACAAGTAAACAATTCTTTGGGTTCTAAGCCCTTCTTTCATGATATTAAATCAGATCATTCAGTTTTTGCCCTTTGCTGCATTCAGGCAGTCAAACCTTCATTTAGGATGTCAACGCAAAAGAACATACAGTCCTGCTTTGTGCACATTCTATAGACATTCTCCACTACTGTGCTGTGTATTAGATGTGTAATGTAGTAACATAGCAGACAAACATGAAGGAAGTCTGAGAGCAGTACCTGTTTTGAACCATCTGTCCTCAGTAAATGACTCTTCTGTCTCCTGAGGTTTGTTCCAGTACTTCTGAAAGACGGAAGAACCTCGAACCAACAGCTCGCCCTCCTTCCCCTCCAAACCAGCCTTCACCTGAGAATAAAAAACAAACTCAGGTCCATAGACTTAAAATAGTGATAAAGGAAGTAGGTCTTCTCCACAAATGACATTAAATTTATTCTATATTAGGTAACGTCTGGTCATAAATTAGCATATTTTAATTATCTTTGGTACTTATGAGTATAGCAGGGCTCGAAATTAACTTTTTTACTTGGTAGCACAAGTGCTCCCAACTTTAAATATTTAGGAGCACCAACAAATTTTTAGGAGCACCAGAAAAAATTTAGGAGCACCCACCAAAAATGAATGAGCACTGCTGCAAATTGTTTTTTGAGGGATTTATTGTATTTTAAAACAACATTAATAGGACTGACAAAAACCAGAAACTATCTAACTAATGCTGCAAAGACATTGATATTTGTGTGCAATAATTCCAAAATGAATGTCTAATAATTAGGCCATAGAATATTAATGATGATAAAAAATGACAATAATAGTAACAATGAATTCCATTTCTCATTATGATGCTGCCTTGAATGTGCATGAATGTAGGTTATCTGCTATAAAAAGTCTGTTACTTTATGAAAAATAATAGTATAGTTTGCCTCAAACAAAAATGAAGCATTGCAGTAAGAAATATTTATTTTGTACTGCTATTTTTGTATGCATGTCAATTTAACAAATAATATTTCTGCAACAAAACAAACAAAAGATTATAATAAATCATTCAATTCAATGATGAAAGCTGCAAAGCAGTCATCGGTAAATAAATAAAAAAATAATATACACCTCAAACAAGAATAGACAAAAGAAAGTAAGTAAAGTCTCACTTCTATCACTCTTTAAAAGTTTTGGTTTCAGTTTGTGTCAATTTAAAGGTTCAGTCTGAGCTGATCTTCATTTTTCTGTGTTAGTGGAAAAGCAGGCGAGTCAGTCAACCCAATTTATGAGCAGGCAGAGCAGGATTTTTGCGCTGACCACCGGCCCAATACCGGTCTTTGTTATGAGCCGCAGTTTCAGTGTAAACTTAGTAAAGGCGAGCTTATTTGGCGATGATATGTACAGTATTAGATTTGACTTTTAGCGGACATTTGCGCTGAACACGCAGTGAATGCAACGCATGGAGATTCGGGCACCTTCTCCAAGAAGCGCGTACTCGATTGATCTCAGCTGGCGGATCATTATTCACCACGTGACGTGTCATGATCGCTCTCATCTGCGCCTCCACTTTAGGTGGGTTTTGCAAACCTGTGTGCTTTAAGTTTTTACTCTTCAGCCGTTTGCATTTCATAAAAGCTCCTTCCCTGTCAGACAGCGGAATACCTTGAGTGAATGACAGCTAATATGAACCAATATAGCGGCAGGGAAGAGCGATTCAGCACGTTTTTAGAAAAAACCAAAACAGGTCGCACTACAACCATTATCTGCAGTCGCACTAATGCTCCCAGATATATTATGAGGTCGCATAGATCAATTTTCGGGCGCATATGCGACCAAAATGGTCGCAATTTCGAGCCCTGTATAGGGAACTTCCATTTAAAATGACTGTGCTACAAATTAAGCCATTTCTAGTAAAAAACTAGCTGTGATTTTCCTCTTCATTACTTTACTTTTCTTTATATTCTGCTGTATTTGTGTGGAAAAAAAAATCAATAGACATTAAGTTAGTGCAAAATGCAGCTGCAAGAGTACCATGTCAAGAAATATGACCATATCACCCTAATTTTATCTTCCTTACACTTGCTGCCTATTAATAATCAAGTTTCATATTGATTATAAAGTATAGCTTCTTGCCTATAAAGCTTTAAATAACCTAGCTCCTGTTTATTTAACCAACCCTCTGTCTCACTACAACCCAACCCGCTCTTTAAAAGGTCGCGAAACACCAAAACACTTTTTGAGATGATGACATATTTGTCCCACACTGCTAAAAACACTATTAGGACACATATATTTTACAAAAAAAAAAGTGAAAATTGATCTTTTTTTTCCAACTAATTTGTTTTTCCAGTAAAAAAAAAAAAAAGATTTCCTTGTGTAAATTCTAGTGTGGAGACTGGATGTCTGTACTGGCAGGTTCAACGTGACGTCTTTGAGTTTTCAGCAATAATTCATGAGAAAGACTTGGTTCGAACCAATCAGCATGCTCTATTGTGAATGAGGTGCAACTTAATTAATTTAGATGATATAGCTTTGAAGACTCTTTTAACCTGTTACAGTGTGACAGCAGAGAGACGACATGTTGTATTAGAGTAGAATTGTTCGGAGACATGCATAGGTCGTCAGTGAAGATATAAATGTGCCACAACAAAGTTTTTGTTTCCATTTCCCCGTGATGAGAGCACTGATCCTTTGTAAGGAATTTTTTTTACCCGAGACCTTTTCTCATCTGGAAATGCCACTCCTCTGGTTTAAAAAAGAAGCGGTTCCAGTTGGTGTTGATTGTCCTGTGTTTATGTCTATTCAGAGGCAAAGTTAGTATTGTCAACAGTACCCTTTTAGTTTTTAAATACATACCTTAGTCAAAATGATTTAGTTACTAAGTTTACAGTACATTAACATCACTACAATATTAATAACTGAAAAATTCACTGTAATTCCTCCGCAAACTATTACCATTGTGTATGACTTTCGACACATTTTCGATACACGACTGTTTGACGCTTTTTTCTGCACCTATCAAGTCTCTGTATCTAACGAGAAAAGCTAAGCTATTTTTTTTTTTCTCCCATACAATGTGCGGGATCGAAAGTTCCATTAAAACAACACACTTCCAGCAGTTCCTTGCATCCAATATCTCGTTTGTTACAGGGGCATGCATAAAATGTTCCTGATGTTCCTTTCAAGGCCTTTTTAAGACTCATGTCAAACTTTAATAAATAAATAAATAAATAAATAAATAGGTAAATAGTAAAAAAAAAAATATATATATATATATATATATATATATATAATTAAAACATTTCACACGAGGGCTAATAAATTTGTCCTAAAATGTAAACGTTTATTCTGATAATAGATGACTAGTTTAGCATTGCCTTTCCTTTACGAACAACAAATACTTTTTCATATACCATTTACTTACCTTAGTTAAATGTTCTGTTTAATCATTTATTACACACACATCCCCCTTTTCACAAATTGACTAATGCCAACACTACAAAACGCAATATATTAGTTGGACACATCAGTCTTAGTGATATATCCAACCACCACTATCTCATGCTACCCATTTCTTGTAAAAATGTTTTTTAATGTGTTCACAGAGAGAAATTTATTGGCAGTGGATGACTACTTACAGTTTAACATAAGTTACTCACACAGCCTTTCCAAAGTGCCATGCATTAAAGGAAGTAGGTGAATAGTATAACACTTATTTACTATGGCAAAAAAATAGTTTATCTGTACCTGTGTTCCTTTGCTGGTTCCCTCAGCGATGACAATACTGCTGTTCATCATGATACGCACTTCTACTCCTGGCAGAGGAACTCCAACAGCACCTGGAAAAATTAAACAGATATAAATAAATACATTAATTAATTAAAATTGTATATTTTATTGATGTTTTCATTTTAGAGGCTTATATGCAATTTAAGGTCATAAATTTGGTCTACTATGTTGCTTTATTGTGATTGAAATCATCAAATATGAAGTAGTTACTAAGAAATTTATTGAATGATCCATTTGTAATTGTTAATCCTTCTGTACTTCTCAGCTTTTCAATGGACTACCCTTTAGTTATATTAGTAGCTTTTTGGCCCCATTGACTTCAATTATAATGAATATTTATTTATTTATTTTTGATAGCAAAAGCAATGACACCTTATAATCACACATTATTGACTGTCTGTAGTTTTCCCTGTTGGAAAGAGGTGCTGTTGATCATCAGTTGGCACCATTAACCCTTTAGATAGGCCTGTGCAAAAAAAGTTTCTAGCATTTATATAGAGTTCTCTGGAGTTCTATGGAGTAAAACAACATATTATAGTGTGTGTGTGTGTGTGTGTGTGTGTGTGTGTATAAATACACTTAATATGTTTACTATGTTCTGAGAGTTGAGCTGTTTATTTTGATTTTCTCAGACATTTCAAGATAAGTGCACAAAGGTCTCTCTCTCTATTTAACACAGAAGCAGAATCTAAGCTTTTTTTTTTTTTTGCAAATGAGTGCTTTTTTGCACTGTAACTGATAAGAGTAAAATGTAAAGTATTACCTCTTCCCAACAGGGAAAACTAGCATCAGTCAAGAATGCATGATATTATGGTGTTATGGCTTTGCAATAAAAAGTCATTATAATGGAAGTAAACAGGGCAAAAACAGCCACCAACATAACAAATGGGTTGTGAGTTTGCCCAGAAAGTATTATTGACTTAAAAAAAAAGAGATTTAAAGCATTTTCCCAAAATACTGCATTTGTCAAAACAAAATTTTTCACAAAAAATTATTCGATTTCCCGAAACACTGAGAAAGTTGTGGCCAAATTAAGAATCAAAATCACCCCAGAGTGGATGAAAACATCACCAACAGCACAAAACGATTAAAAAGACTTTAAGGCTCTATTTTAATGATCTAGGCGCAAAGTTTAAAGCAAATGGTGCAAAAATATTAAGGTGGTGTCTGGACGGAAAAATGCTTAGTGCCTTAGCAAATGGTATAACAGGGTTGTGCTTATTCTCTTATGAGCTATGGGTGTGTTTTGAGCCTAACATGCATTTAACCAATCAGAGTCTCATCTTCCATTCTGTTAAAGAGTCAGTTGTGACGCGCCATGGTGCATTGGCGGACATTGTAAGTGAAAAAAATGAATGCTTCACTAGCGAGAAAACTGTTAAACAGACCATCTGACCAACCTCCTCTTTACTTTACTTGTACTCTATACTTTACTCCTTTACTTTTGTGGATAAGGAAACGGTTTTGTATGCACTTCACTGAAGACATCCATTAGCCTACATGTTTAATTTAGTTTGTTAAGTGCAAAGAATTTGTTTCACAACTATTTCTAAATTCAGTTCTAATTTACAGCAAATTAATAAATGAGCAATAATAAAAACTGAGTTACAAACACACATCTTATTGTTATGCTCCTTATGGTGATGCATAACTAACATGCTCTGCACTGGACTTTAGACCAGCTTTTAGATGGTCAATGGCGCAGTCTATTTCAGTTTTTTAAAATAGCAATGCGCCAACAATGCGCCTTAACACACCTCCTTTATAGACCAGCACACCCATGCATCCTCAAAGTAACAATTTGATTTGCTATTTAAACAACATTGTGCAATACATAAAAATTAGGGTTGCACTGGTCTGAAAATAGCAACAAATCATGCCAGACACGTCTTGCGCCTTATTGTGACAGGTGTATGATAGGGCCATTCATTTTGGATCATCTCAGAAATAATGCTCAGATTCTTCTTGCAAAACGACCAGTCAAAATAGTGTTCCAGCATCTTATGCTGGCCTACTATAATAAATTCTGTCTGCTCTGGTGAAGCTGCAGAAGACATACACAGAGCTAAAGAGTTGTCTTACACATGTATGTAGAATCTGACCATTAGGGGCTCGGGTGTGAATATAAATGAAATAGGGGGGCTGATCTGAGGTTTGTGTACTGCGTCCACTGGGATATGATTGTGTGTGTCAAGTGTATACTGGAATGTGGCTGTCCCTGTAGCAGAATTCCTGTCACAAAATGAGAAAAGGACACAATAACTCCCAGACTGCTTAAAGAAGCCATTAACAGTCCTTCTGCCATTCACAAGCCCTCATTAAAACAGAGGACACACACACACTCATGTTTAATTCAACGATTCTCCACACTGTGCCACTGTAGGGAGTGGCAGCACCTTCTAGTACAATACAGAAAGAGAAAGAAATCTCTATTGGCTACAATTGGTTCAGTTTTTTTTTTCTGTCTTTAACCTTTCTGAATTTCTCGTTTAACTAAATTTGCACATTTTCTCAAAAAGTTCTGTGTAAAATGCTGGCTGCACTGGGTGTTAATGTTCACGTACATAGTATTATAATAAAACAAAAGCACGAAGTTGCTGAATTTGCTCTTTTAACTAATAATCGCTGTACTGTTTCTAGTTCCTAATTTATAATGTAATTTTTTCTTCAATATCTTTTATGGCCTTGACTTGTAAGAACTAATGAGGTTCATTCATATTCTTAAATGTCATGCTGTTTTTGAGATCAATCAGCGATCTCTTCTTGTGTGTCAAAAAGTTATGGCTGAGCTTCTGCTAATATTTGCTGATTGCAAATAATACAGTATGAGAATAAAAGGCTAAATTAAATTTGTTTAGCATATAATGTGAGTCTAACCCTTCAGAAGATTTGTATTGAACCAAACAAAACGCTTTCTATTGATTTATTTTATAATCTATTCATGTACATCTTAAATAGCTGAAGGCTTTAATGGAGGAAGATAAGTCTTTTGGATTTAAGTAAAGGATGGAAGGATGAATTTTTCATTTTAGGGTGAACATTGATCTAAAGTTAACACATTATAATAAGTATGTATTAGTTAATTCGATGTAATGTACAACACATAAAACACAAACCTTTACAACTATATTATTGTTGAAGGTTTAGCCATTGCAGTTTGCTGAAGAACCCTTCCTGTCTTTCGCTTGGACTGCACTTCCCACCATGCCCTGCAGTCACACACCAGTTTCAGTTCACTTTTTAATTACACACAGCTGTTGACTATCAAGACTGATTATACACACACTCTATATAAACTCTCCATTCACTCTAGCCCAGTGGTTCTCAAACCTTTTCATCAAGTAAAACCTCAGAAAAAAAATTGTCTCTCCAAGTACCACCAAAATGAGCAGTATTGAAATACAGTAGCATAGAAGGCCTAGTAAAGCAGATACAACTCTGACCAGTTAAAAAAATGTGGCAGATTACCTCAGAAATATAGGCTATATGTCATATATAGCATATTATATACATCATTTTGGATAAATTTTGAAAAATATGTAGCATGTACATGACATATTTCATTCCTCCGTGTATCACTAGATGGAAGTCTGCGTACCACTAATGGTACACGTACCACAGTTTGAGAACCACTGCTCTAGCCCATTTCTCAGTCTTGGTTTAATGTAATGATCACTACTCGGGCTTTCCTGTTCTTGATTTTGCCTCGTCTGTCCTGTTTAGTTTTGCTTTGGATTATTTTGGATTTTGGATTGTTTGCTGCCTATCCTGACATTTTGTCACTTTATGGATTACGATTACTTTTGTGGGTTTTCTTTGCCATCCCTGTTTTGCTCCTGAAAAAAAAAAACAGAGTGGAAAACAAATGCAACCTTACCTCTGTTGTAACCCCCTTCATTACAATTATCCAGTTATAAGTGCTGCACAATATTGCAAAACTATTACTGTCATGACAATAGTATATGCAATAAATGCATTACAGACATGTGTGACAAATTACATTTAGTTAATACATGGGTTGTTTATCTAAATTTGGCAAATCAGATGGGGTCTTACTATCTTAATGTCTGGCTCCCTGGTAGTTGCTGTTCTGCTTTTGGCTAGAGCTGAATGTAAATACTAATGGCAGAAGACAAGATGCTGAAAATGATCAGTCAGAATTTCACTCAGTGTTTTGAAGAATAAATGTTTGCACCTTAACACAGTATTTTAGTTTGAATTAGATCTGAAAAATGTATTTTACCTGTTTATGTTAATAACATTACATAAATAAATTTAATAACAGAGCCAATAAAAATTGCAGAAATGTTTTTCTACAGAAATGTCATATCATAAGAATTACCACTATCGCAATACTTATAACAATATTGCATATTTTCCCAGTATCGTGCAGCCCTGCCAGTTATGCTGCACTGCCTGTAAAGAAAATCCTGACAATTTCTTCAAGACACTTTTTAAATCTCAGCTCAGATCTTTTATAACAACAATGTTCTTTTAACAAAGACACAACCGTAATTTAGGTTACAGAGCCCCACACATGAGATCAGACTCATCATAATTCATGGGTATCTCTTCTGGTGATCACAGTCAACCCTGTGACTGATATTGATCGACTTCAACCTACTTCAGAATTAGACAGCCTCACACTGGCATCTCATGGGGCCTCGAGCAGGAAATGTTAAGTTGCAAACTCCTCTTAATCATCACCTCTGAGCATTGACTTTAGCCCATTTTCTCTTCCAAACTCATCACTAATAAAACTGCATGGCGCACAAGCTTTCCTCTGACAAGCACGTTAGCACAATCACTTACAAACACGTGTCAAAAAGATGAACAAAACAATTCTCAGAGACACAGAGTGGTGTGAGGAAATTGTGAGAAGACAACTGAAAGTGCTTTGATACCGAGACTAAAAGATGGCGTGGAAGCTGACAGGAGCATTTTGATCAGAGCTACATCACTCAGAAAAAACCCATGGAGAGTTTGTTAGAAGATAATCACACGTAAACAACAAAACGCCGACAAAAAAGACAAACAAACTACTTCAAAA